GGCCAGGGCCCGGTTTGAACCCGCCACCTCTGGTATATGGGGGTCAGCTCCCCACTCCTTTGAGCCACAGGAGCCACCCAAAAAAAAAAAAAATTTTTTTTTAAATTAAAAAAAAATGGTTCCCTGATTTGGGGATTGTTCATTCATTTAGCAAATTTTATTTGAATACCCAACTATTCTAGATACTAATTAAGGTACAGACCATGTGCTCAAAGAGTTCACTGTTAGATGCAGCTTTAATTACGGTAGTTTGAGGTGTGGACAAGAAAGTGTGCTGACAGCATGGGAAGTTGCCTGTTTTGAGTTAGGAAAAACATCAATAGGGTTTTCAGCTGGGTTGTGAAGAATGAGAAATTTAATAACAGGTGGAAAGGTATTCTAGCAAAAAGAAACAGCAGGTGCTCAGCTGTTGACAATATTAACATCAAGGAACATATTAGGGAAGTTCCTGGAGTGGGAGAAGCACGATCCTAAGTACGCTTGTGTGATCTATATGCAGAGGAGCTGGGAATTTATCTTACCTATTCATTCCTCATAGTAACATTATGGGTAGCTGTTTCATTCCCATTTAAAGATGAAGAAATGTAGACTAAAAGTGTTATGTAATGTGGTGATGATTCCTCAATTTAGTGCTCATTTATGTTAGAGCAGGAGAAATTGAAATGTGCTAGTTTTCTATAATGGGTGATTGGGGCAGATTAGAATGTTCACTTTTTGACAAATTAAGTTTAAATACCAATTCAAGTGGAAATATCATGTAGAATTCTATGCAAATTTGGAGTGAAGAAGACAGAGCTAAGCAAGAGATAAAAATTTGTAGTTAAATAGTGGGCGTTAAAAGCCGAGAGATTGAAATGACCAAGGGAGTATAGAAAAAAATGAGGACCAGAAACAGTTCTCCATCATATGAAGATGGAAAAGATAAAAACAGCAGAGGAGATTGAAGAATAGTCAGCGACAGGAGGGAAACCTGGAGAATAAAATGCCTTGAAAACTAAGTCAAGTGAAATGCAAATGGAAGAAGGAAAAAATGTTAAGTCAATGCAAAAGCTGCTGTGTCAAGTAAGATGAATGCTGAGAACTAACCATTAGTTTAAACAACAGAGGTCGGTTTCCATGAAGTGCTGGAGCCAGAGCTTGATTCCAGAGGTTCTAGGGGAAAAAATGAGAGATACAAAATTTGAGAGCATATATAGACAGCTCTTTCAAGAGGTTTTGCTATAAAAAGAAATGTGACAATATTTAGAGGGGCAGTATGGTTCATTTTTTTCTTTATAGGAAGAATAACAGCATGTTTGAGCTGTTGAACCTGGCCCAATTGTGATCTCTCCCTACCCCTTTTACTGCTTTCCCTATTTATTCCTGCTCTTAATTTCTTGATGAGATTTTTCTTGTTGTGTATTTAAAAACTGTTGAGAAAAATCTGCTAGAAATGGGAAATTGCTGCAAAAAAAGAGGAGAAAATTGCTACTCTGATTTCTGAGTAGATGAGGAGGGATGAAATGCAGGTGTGGAACAGTTGGCCTTTGCTACACACACAGACACTTCACCACAGCAGTCACATGGAATGTACAGTGTGAGTAAATTAATAAGCGGGGACAGTAATTTAGATAATAACTCAAGCAAAGATAGCAAGAAGTCACATCCTCCTTTGGAAAAATGTTTGGAGATCACTTAGGGATCTAAAAATAGACCTACCATTCGATCCTTCAATTTCTCTACTAGGTATATATAGAAAACCATATAATATATATAGAAGACCAAAAATCACTTTATAACAAAGATACTTGCACCAGAATGTTTATTGCAGCACAATTCATAATTGCTAATTCATGGAAGAGGCCCAACTGCCCATCGACCCACAAATGGATCAATAAATTATGGTATATGTACACTGTGGAATATTATGCAGCCTTAAAGAAAGATGGAGACTTTACCTCTTTCATGTTTACATGGATGGAGTGGGAACATATACTTCTTAGCAAAGTATCTCAAGAATAGAAGAAAAAGTATCCAATGTACTCAACCCTACTATGAAACCAATTTATAGCTTTCATATGAAAGCTATAACCCGACTATAGCCCAAGAAGAAGGGGAAAGAGGAGAGGGAGGGCAGAGGAGGGGAGAGGATGGGTAGAGGGAGGGTAATTGGTGGGACCACACTTACGTGCATTTTACAAGGGTACATGTTAAATTTATTAAGTGTAGAATATAAATGTCTTAACGCAATAACTAAGGAAATGCGGTGAAGGCTATATTAACCAGTTTGATGAAAATATTTCAAATGGTATATAAAACCAGCACATTGTACCCCATGATTATGTTAATGTATACAGCTATGATTTAATTTAAAAAAAAAAAAAAGTAACGAAAGAAGTCAACATCCTGAACATCAGAGTTCAGATAGGGGAGCTGCCTAAAGAAGTTACAGGAGAAATCAAAATTGGATAGATAAAACGTATTACAGATTTAGTTGTAAAAAGCAGACCCACTAAGAGAAAGAGTGTTCCCATGGAGCACAAAGCGGTCATCAGCATTTGGTATCCTACTTGATCCTGATTTGCAAAATATCACCTGAAAATCTTAGCATACCTGCATTTCTAGAAAATCTAATCTAATGTTAAAGGTTTCCTAAAAGCCTGCCTAATTCCTAGAAATTTATGAAATGGCTAAAAATAGTATACTATTTTGGAGGATTAAAGAAAATGGAAAGAGGCAGGAGTCTAGGAATTCAAGGATATGGTGAGCTATGATTGTGTCATTGCACTCCAGCCTGGGGGATAGTGAGACATTGTCTCTAAAAAAAGAAAATTTGTATATTGTTTGCCTCACATAATGAATAACTTTCACTTAGTGTTTCTGCTACTTATTTTAATTTCAAATGACTGAATTTGTGTTCCAGAATAAAAATCAATTTCTGGGGCTAAAGTAAGTAATTTGAATATTTTCCCTTTTTTTCTTTTGTGTTTATATATAATCCTTTTGTTTTCTATTTTTAGGAAATCTGGAAAAAGAATGCAAAGAGAAAGAGGAGAAAATAAATAAGATAAAATTAGTTGCCGTGAAGGCCAAGAAAGAACTAGATTCTAGCAGAAAAGAGGTAAGCTGCCTTAAAAATGCAAGATTCAAGAATTTCACATTAGGAGACCAAGAGTTTTCTATCATTAAAAAAGTCCTTAACTTTACTGCATATTTGAAATAGGCCCAGACTATAAGGGAAGAACTTGAATCTGTTCGGTCAGAAAAGGACCAGTTGTCTGCTTCTATGAGAGAGCTCATTCAAGGAGCGGAGAGCTATAAGGTAAAAATAGTCATTTTAATAGCAACTATGTTCATAACATTGAAATCAAGAAATGTTCTAGAAAGGTAAAACGCTTATCCATGAAACAACTTCTATTTTTCTAGTAAATCTTTATTTTTTCTATTTTTTGTTTAATGTAGTAGAGTCCTAATATCATATTTTGTGATAAATATTCTTTTAAAACCTAGAATGAAATACTTGATGGTTTCACTACTTCTAAATAGAAAAGGCTTTTCCAAATTTAAAAGGAATTTAAGTAATTACAAAGGAAAAATAAAGAAGTGTTTCTTAAAAATGGATTTGTAAAATTTCTCTACATATTTGGCATACTAATGTTTTGTCATATTTTCACGTAAATTTAAATTTACATTTCTACATGTTCATTACCATATTTTTAATGAAATTTATAAATGTAAATATAACAAGGGATTTACGGTAGAATCAGAGGTGCTGAAATGTTTAGGAATGTTGACCACTTGTTAAAAAATACACATAACTAAGCTCTATTAGGTTTCTCAGGGAGACTTATAAAGATGCAGAGTAATTTTATACTTTACTTCTTTTGTCTAGTTTTTTCATTGTTTATATCACTTATAATTATTATCAGTTTATTAAAGGTCCTTATTATTAAAAGGGCTCTGAACACATGAGAGTCTTTAGGGACAGTAAATTTGTAAGTATTCAGAGATTTAGAAGCATCTACCCTACAAAGCATCAAGGAAAGTAGACCATTGCATGAATAGCATTCAATTTTTGTTCCAAGACTCTCCTTAAGAATAATACTTGATTAAAGTTAGAATTTCCTGGAGGGAGCCATTGCTTACAAGAATCAGCTTTGGCACCAATAATTCAATTTTATAGCAACTGCCAACTATTAGAACCATAATGAGTAAAAATAAAGGTGGCTAGATAGAGTCTGAGATGATAAAGATCTCTAATCTTTAGAAGAATCCACACAAATACAAATCAAGCACAAAATCTTCTCTCTTATCGAAAAGGAAAGATACTAATGATTTCTCCACCCTATATTCACGTGTGCCAGGAAATAACAGAATCCTAAAAAATAGCCAGGCATTATGGCGGCTGCCTCTAGTCCCAGCTTCTCCGGAGGCTTGAGGCAAGGGGATCATTGGAACTCAAGAGTTTGAGGTTTCTGTGAGCTATGATGCCATGGCACTCTACCAAGGGCAGCAAAGTAAGACTCAGTCTCAAAAAAAAAAAAAGAAGAAGAAAGAAAATATAAGCCACATTTTAGATTGCCACTTCCTGTGTTCTGCCACTCAAGTCACTTTAGCCAGACCATAAAATCAAAATTCAGATTCTAACTCTAGGCCACCAGCTGAATCAAATAATTGGCTATGTGTAAGTCAGATTTAGAAACAGGGTGGGCATGGTGGCTCATGTCTGTAGTCCCAATGCTTTGGGGAAGCCAAGGCAGGCAGATGTCTTGAGGCCAGGAATACAAGACCACCTAGACACCATAGCAAGAACGCATCTCTCAAAAAAATTTAAAAACTAGCTGTGTGTGTTGGTGTATGCATATAGTCCCACCTACTCAGGAGACTGAGGCAAGAAGATCACTTGAGCCCAGGAGTTCAGGGTTGCTATGAGCTATGATCCTTCCACTGCACTGTAGCCTGGTGATAGAGACCTTGTCTCTAAAAAAGAAAACAACAAAATTACATTGGCTAAGAATCAGATTTGGCAAGCAAGATCCAGAAAGAACATAAATGCTACACTATACCACGAGGGATGCCTGGGAAGATAAGCCAAGGCTCTAGCCCCAGATAAAGGCTGCTTCCAGCCTTTGTGAACTCTTGATTCATGTAGTTTCTTATGTTTACACATAGTACATAGTATCTCAGTGGGACTTCCATCTCTAAAAAAAATTTAAATAAATTAAGTAAACACGAACATTTTACTAGTTATTTTGCATGCACATTCATTTATGAGAACAGTCAGAAGTTGTCCAGGAACAAAGGCAAAAACAGGACTTACAAGAAATAGAGAGGGGGAAAAAAAATTACAGGCAGTCAGGGAACAGTGAATCTCTTTTACATAATTTGAAGAATAACCTAATTAGCTAGTGTGTAGCAAAAAAGTCTGGGCAGTCTGTCCTTCAGTAGGCCAACTAGGAATATCAAAGACAAAAAATAAGCTGGTTTTTGATTCCTCAGAAAATCCTGAAAGTCCGTGAAAGAATAAATTTATGTGGTATCTTCCAGTGTTCTTCCATTAGCACCTCTACCTTATAGTAGACAAGGCCTGGAACAGTTCTCTCATCAGAATTCTTTAGGTGGAGTTAATAGGTGTCTAGATTAAACTTTTTGTCCTCCTTAAATTTGGCTTCCATTTTGGAAGTTTATTTTTGTCAATAAGTAGAATATTTAACCTTGGAGCTATTGTATGCATTTAAAATTGTCTTATTTTTTAATATATTCCTCCCACCCCCAATAGCAAAAGTCATCTGAATTATGATGATTTTATTATCTAATGCCAACTATGTAGTCTATCAAATGTTGAGTGTGCATACATATTTTAAGTATCTAGGATAGGCTCGGCTCCTATAGCTCAACCGGCTAAGGCGCCAGCCACATACACCTAAGGTGGCGGGTTCGAATCCCCAGCCCGGACCCGCCAAACAACAATGACGGTTGCAACCAAAAAATAGCCGGGCGTTGTGGCGGGCGCCTGTGGTCCCAGCTACTTGGGAGGC